ACTTCCCTTAACACTTTTAATACCACCTCACCACCCGCCATTGGTTTTTACCAAAAGACAATATACCTTTCTTAGTCTCTTCAGTGGTAGACAGTTTGCATGTCAACTCATTAGATCCCATGTTTTGTTCCTTCTGTTCTAGAGAGTTACAGTGATTTTGTTAAACTTTAACATTAGGAGTTTTTAACTAGTACACCGTAAGCCAAAAACTGTCAAATTAACCACTGAAAAAGTTAAACTCGAACCTTATCAGAAGCTCAGCTCTGTTGCTTAGAAGTCAGCTACTGCTGTTAATAATTGACTGACCCTTGAGTATTGGATTGGATTCATAATGCAGACTGTTTTTGGACCCCCTCCTTTACCCTCCCCCGGCGTTTTTTTTTTTTTGGGCAAGAAACTGCAAACTTACCACCCCTAGGTTCGCATTCTGAAAGATTAAACCCAGGTGACTCAGACATTTTGGGGGTGAGAACTGAACAGAAGCTAATCCCAAGAACCCTGTTAAACTGTGTAAGAAAGTTACATTAGAGCACCTTAAGGTTGCAAAGTAATCTGCAGTCTAACGTGGGTGGCTTGGATTATTCTGAAAGATTAACAGCTGGTGACTCAAAGAGACATTACTCGGACAAGAATCCAACAGAAGCAATTCCCAGGAACCATGCTGAACTGTGTTAGAAAGTCATATTAATTAGAGCACCTTAAGGTTACAAAGTAATCTGCAGTCTAACGTGGGTGGCTTATTCTAAAAGATTAACAAACGGTGACTCAAAGAGCTTTTCAGAGGAGAAAAACCCAGGAACCCTGTTCAACTGTATAAGAAAGTTACATTAGGGCACTCTAAGGTTACAACTGCCAAACCAAGCACTGCAAATCTGGTAATTACTGTATTCATAAACAGCAAAAGTACACAAAAACTGTACATATATTTCTACAAAAAAGGTTTTACATCATTACAGTTATTATTCACATGTAGTTTTATACAAAGAAGAAGCATTCTTTAGGATTTTAAAACTTGTCATAAATATGTTAAACAGGGTCGCTGGACTGAGCGCACAATTGTAGAATATTTGAAAAAAAAAAAAAAAAAGAAAATGGTTCACTTCCCATCCATACGGGACAAACTCCTGGGCTACAGATTTGGGTTCTCCGAAGAAGGTAATACATAACGAAATTAAGAAGAAAACGCAGATAGGGTGGTCTGGTGGCACTGTAGCTACTGGGTTTGAATCAAGGTGAATTACTTTCTTTTGATATTGTGTATAGAATCCAGTTTAGTACTTCCAGCTTTGTTCATCAATGTTCATTAAAGGGTTCCTCTTGGACATCCTCATTTCAGTGTTGCAGACATTATGTTATACGTATGTATGTATATATATATATATATAAAATGTATATGTATATATGTAACTGTACATGTATGTCTACATATATGTGTGGGTGTTTGAGATCATACCAGCTCCCTCCCCAACAATCCTCACTATGTACTAGAGTACCAGTTCAAGCCATTCGTTTTGGTGCAATTACTATTTCTTAGCTAAAATAATTGGCACAAAGAAACCAGACCACAATTATAACCAATACTGCTCACAGTGGGTTAAACGAGGTCAATTTTTTGGTTTTGTTTTTCACAAACAGATGGGCAGATCAGTGCTGTTTTGTGATTCTTTAGATATTTTTCTGTCATATAGAGCAAATACTTTAAAAACCATTTAAATACCGACAGAAAGAAAATGCACTTTAAAAACAAATTTCCATGACTGATTTATGTCATTTGTTCAAGAATTTTCCCAGCCACAAATCAGACATCTTGAAACATTTGCCACTTTAAGCCAGTGAAAACTACTGATCGTTATGACAAGCTAAAACTCTCGTCCATGTAGAAACATATCAACACTTTAAAATACACCTATCTGGTCAAAGAGGAAGCCTCTATAGGGTGTCTCATATGCTGGGATACACAGGAGAACACAATTTCAATGCCTATCTTCCACTGCTTCTTCTTCTTAAAGTTCATGCCGTGTAGCGTTGGTAGTAATTTCTATCCACAACTTTTGTTATACAGACATGACTTTTCATTGCAGACTACTCACAGTAGGTTGTTAGTTCTTTCTGTGAGTGCAGTGCCCATACTGGGTGGGTTTTCCTAGCCACTGTGCCTTTAGAGGCATCATCTGCCCAGCATATTTAAAGTGATGACCAATACTGAGAACTTCTCAGCTGCACAACATGTTTATCCATCACCTACCTGCTATCATTTCACAATATGTTTACTTTTCCTATGGCTAGAAACTTGTGGTACACCTTGTGTTAACTTTTTATGTTCTAACATCCAGAGCTTAACACTGCATCAATACAAACTACGAGAATAAAACAGACTCCTTCACTCTAAAACTTACGACAATGTGAAATATATTGAAGAACAAACAGCACTCCTTTCTTTTCATCAAAACACAGCAGACAACTTTAGAAGCAGCAATTCTGAAACCACAAAGCTGCACAACATAATAAACAAGAGCACCATCTCCCCAACTGCTTCACCTCTTAATGTGGGCTACATAAAAACTCAAAAGTGTTACATTGGCAATAATTATCCACATTAATTGTACACATCTTTCACTAACAACTGACTTATGAGAACAATTCAAGGGAAAGCAAGTTTGCTTTAAGCAGGCTTTCTATACCGACAAAATGGTGAGATCAGAATCTTTGATATCGATCAGGTAGCATTCATTTTATCATCAAAGCAAACAGTGTGACTAACCACATCTTTATTATTTGAGTGGACACAAAATATTAAAGAAAATCCAATTAATAAAAAGTTAAAACTGCCACAAGCATAGGTAGATACAATTTGTTATGTTCTAGAACTATTATTTAGATTTTTCATCAAAACAAAGCTACAGAGGCCACTACAATTCTTCTGCATTTGCCCTTATGAGGGTGGCTGGAACGCTCTGTTGAAGTACAGCAGTGATTCCTAAACTGTGCGCAGCGGTGCACCGGGGAGAGGCAAAATATTGTAAAAGCTTCAGAATTAATTTAACCAAGACACAATAGTCATACTTTTACTTAGGCTAGGTTGCCTTGGGAAAAATTTTAATTTGAAAAAAAAAAAAAAGGCACCGTGACCGAGAAAAGTTTAGGAAACACTGTAGTACAGTTAGGGTATGACATCTGTGCCCTTTGGCCCACTACACCCGATTTCTGCAAAACCGCAATTAATTACCTCTTATGGGGGAACACCCCCCCCCCCCCCCCCCTTCTCCCCAATAGAAGACAAAACCCATATGGGGCACCCACTAATATTGCAATCTAAAGCGGTCATTCTGTGTCTACTTGCTGCCTACAAATATTTCCATATAATTTTCACAACAGACATTAACAAACCACAGAATGAGCCGTTTTAAAAATCTGACAGCTTGCCATGCAAGAAACCCTATGCTGATGACCTCCAGTGGTTAGCTAACTTCACTTTTAAATCCTACCTGGATTTCAGATTAAATATGGGGGGCGCAACTGAAACACACAATTGTGAGTTGCTAAATTAATGTTGTATATGTGGTAGTGATTTCTGCAACATATGCTGTTGGTTATTTAAATAATGTTATAATCTGGGTGCTAATTTCTGTAGGTACATTACCCTTTTCCACCCCTTCAGGCATACTGGGTATACAGGGAGAGACCCATATTTTATAGATCAATCAGTACTGGGTGGATGATGTGGCCAACATCACGCCAGCCACCTTTACTTCCCAGGACTTCACCCGATAACCACTCAAGGTTGGGTCGACAGGGATGCCAAGGTCATTTCTGAAAAAAGTATAGCTCTGTTTGCATTGGAACCCACGACCATTAGATCCGCAGGTGAGCATCTAGCCACTAAAGTATGGCTGCTCCCAATTTCTGTAGGTGTCAGGTGTTTAATGTTATACTTGCAGTACTAACTGTAACATACTCTGGTAGTCATTTAATTCAACATTACACTTATGATACTTATTACTATAACAGTCTCTCTTAACTGTTTAAATCAATGTTATACTTGCGCTGCTGACTTCTGTAACATATTTTCAGTTAGCTGTTGACATCAAAGTTACATTTGCGGTTTTGTTTTCGGTTTCAGTTGTCAGAAAGAACATTCACGATGTCCATTATTATGTGATTTATTTACTTAATTACCTCCTCGCCGTCAACTATCTAACTTTTTCTTGAAAGCAAGATGAGGCATTCACAAGTGATCTCCAATGCTGTTTGTCTGTCCATATCCTCCCATGTCAGGTTACATTCTTTCAAATAACTTTGTAGTCCTTCTGCATGCTGCGTTGGACCATTCACATCTTTTTCCCATTTGTCATCCCCTGGAGAACTGTCCCTGCCAAAGTACCACAATTTCATCAACTATGCCTGCCCTTTCAATTATAGTCAACCTCAATTTTCTGCCAAAACCTGATGACTGTGCCCATAAACAGTGAAGAACATCTTTAATTCTCGACTGCAGACTATTATCAAGAAACGTGACTGTTACCGTCTCCCTAAGACAGACTTCATAAATCTCTAGGATATAACACTGCTTCCGTGTATACGTTGAGATACAACATCAAATACAGCCTATGATGATAATGTCTGCAGATTACAAGAGATACACACACAAATATAATATATAATTCTGCAGGTGTCCGTATTGGTACGTGGATGTGTGAGCTTGCCAATACTCTTTCCTTTTCTTACACATAAAAATTGTACGACTACTGCATTTACAGGTTAACAAAATTGAAGTAACATGAATAAAAATATGTCATCACTACACCAAACCCAGCTGTGTTGTTGGGCTTTAATGTTGCTGTCTGCGACTTATTCCTCTGCCTCTTCCCCCCCAATGTACTGATCATAAACCACACTCCCATGTTCCTCCCCCCCCCTCCCCCCGACAAACAAGAATTGCTTGCTGATTAGGTTTCCCTGTAAACAAATAGTAATGCATACTACTGCAGCCCTGCAACTGGTCATACAAAAACCTTGGCCAGTGCGTCGGCCCCAGCACTTGCAATGTATGGTTTCTGAGGGTGGAAGGCAACATCGTGAATAGACTCCTCAAACTTCTTGCGATGGGAGGTGATTTCCTGAACACACGTTTTACTGTCTAAATTCCATAACCTAATTGAACAGTCATGACCTGAAATAAAAAACAACATGATTTAAAAAAAAAAAAACAAAAAAAAACAAGATAAACTGTTCTAGAAGACTTTTTCAAAGGTAATCAGGTAACAGCGGTCCAAACTTCTTAGTAAATGGGCCACCCCATAGTTGGTCCATTCCTGTGCCAACCAAACCCCAAATAATGTCCATCACTGTCCCTTGTGAAAAAAGGGACACAGACTGCAGTCTCAGCAAATCCATTTGCATACACAAACATTCCTCTTCTTTCGGGACAGTTTGTAACCTCATTGACGTGTCCAAAGGGGATCAGTAACAACCGGTCCAAAAACTCAGTGGGCCAACGCCCATAGTTGGTCCATTCCTGTGCCAACCAAACCCCAAATAAGGGTCTTTGTGGTTTCCCCACCATTCACCTTGTACCTCATTGAATTGTCCGGGGTGATGGGGGGGGGGGGGGGGGGGGGGGGGGGGGGGTGGGGGGGGGGGGGGGGGGGGGGGGGGGGGGGGGGGGGGGGGGGGGGGGGGGGGGGGGTGGGGGGGGGGGGGGGGGGGGGGGGGGGGGGGGGGTGGGGTGGGGGGGGGGGGGGGGGGGTGGAGGGGGGGGGGGGGGGGGGGGGGGGGGGGGGGGGGTGGGCCGAGGGGGATGAGAGGCTGTTCTTAATGCCAACACTCCATTTTTTTCTTTGGTCTTCCACTCACTTTATACACACTAATGTTTTCGTGTGGCTTTTTGTGTTGCTGTGGCAAATAGTACCAGGGCATTCTGGTTAGGTGTCCAAACCACTTCATTTGTTGTTCTTTGATGACCTTTAAGACTGACTTTATTTCTAGCATTCATCTGTTTTGTCATTTCCTATTCTATCTATCCTTGAAACTCCTGCAGCTCTTCTAAGGCATTTTATCTCTGATATCACAATTTTATGTTCACTGGAGGATGTAAGATGTAAATGTCCACATTTGGCACCGAAAGCATAGTGTTGGCCAAAAACCACACAGGGCTAACATGATTTGAAATACACCAGCTACTAAAAGGACAGACCTGCCACATATCCACATGATATAGAAGAAGTATCAGCTGCACTGAGCTGATCTCCTAGCCCTCTCACCAGACCATTGGCTTCCGAACAGAATATTCTACAGAAAATTATAGTATGGGGAAATGTTCCCAAGCAACCACATAGAATGGTCTGAGGATACCTCGCAGACTGTTGCTCTGAAGCCTTCAAGCACCAATATACACTGCAGTGACTAGACGCTCATCTACTGCCCTAGGTATAAGGTAATCTTAGGCAGATTTTTTTTTCAAATTTACACTGACTCTCAGGTCAACTCGGCCTAAAATGGGTACCAATTAATTCCTAGGACGTAAAGGCAGTAGGTATTATACTTAAAAGTGTAGGTCTATCCCTACATGCCCATGAAAATGGTCAGACACATGTAATGCTGCAGCACATTGATCCAGACACAGTGTATACGTTAACCTTTGGGAAGTGACCAGCAAGGTAGCAGAAATCCTACTGGTAAAGCAATACTGACAGGCCAGAAAGCTTAGGAGCCCTTGCTTCCTCCAGTGTGCCTACCATTAGATACCCAAACAGTTAGTAAGTCGACAGATTATCCTCACTGCACATCAAACGATTCAGTCCTTAAGTGCTGAGATCCTCTCCTAAGTAAATTTAGCGGCGTGTAGCGGCTGATGACACCGGCTGCTTCCGTGTATACGTTGAGATACAACATCAAATACAGCCTATGATAATAATGTCTGCAGATTACAAGAGATACAAACACAAATATAATATATAATTCTGCAGGTCTCCGTATTGGTACATGTGCTGGTTTTGTATTCTTCTTTGGCTACCTGCATAGCGCTTTTGTTTAGCCACACTCCTTTTAACATGCTGTTCTTGCAGTCTGGTCATGGTTGCAGTTTTACAGTCATCACCTGGTTCTCGTAAACGTCTCTCTTCTCGTAGAGCATTCAGTTTTTCCGCATGGTCCATGGCATATTCTCTCGCCATCATAGCTTTACCTGCAATCCTATCAGCCTGCTCATTTCTTTGCACGCCTGTGTGCCCTGGCACAAATATGTATGCATCAGCCCTGACCACCTCAGAAACTCCAACCATTGTCTTCAGACCTAGCCAATTTATATTTTCCGGAGAATACTCACCGAGTCATAGAGAAAACATGTGTCTCCAACCATGTTACTGCTTAGGTCACTGCAATGACCTCCATGGTCAGACTAGTTGTAATCAAGGAGAACGCACCAGCATCTTGTTTCACAACTCTCCCTCCAACCTGAGTTGTAAAAGCCCAATGCTTCTCACACGGCGAACAACAGACTATTCTATGTAAATGACTGCACCCCCCTCTACAGAATTCTCAAAAATCACGGCCCTTTGAAAATAACATTTAATTGTTCTATTGATCTATCTATCTATCTATCTATCATCTTCTTCATGTCCCCGTTGACACATAAGGCATTCACAAGTTATCTCTTTCCATCTGCTGCTTTTAGGACCACGGTATCCGATGTCAACGTACATTCATTTCCTTCTTTTTCGACTGTCCTGCTCCAGGTTTCTTTAAGGATGTCTATATTCTCTTTCCATCTGCTGCCACGGGAAAGCTGTCCTTGCCAATTTGACACAAAAATTTTTGCAAACATGTCCAGGCCATCTCTATTTCATCACTAGATGAGTGCTCTTCATTTTTGATGGCTAAACAACAAATGTGAACATTCTGTAAAACACATGGTTTCAGTATATTAACCAGAATCAATATTTCTCAAAAACAAAATGACACCGAAAAAAAAAACACGCAGTACTTACTCCCTGATAACAGATACAAGCCATTGGGATCTATTGCCAAACTTGTAACAGAGTCTAAGTGAGCTACCATAGAGTGAATAATTTTGCCTGAAACAAACATTAAAATAAAATATAATAAACAAAAATTAAAATGAGGACACAAGCAATATACTGCTTCGGTTTTGCCCGGCATGTTTCATTGTTTTTCAGCAGATGCTTACTACACAATTGATAACATATAAAGCATTGGAGCTGTAGTGGATTGATACTCCCCTGCCAGCCCGAAGGCCAAGGTTCAAATCTATATCGAGGCAGATGATTTTCAAAAGTCCCCTTGGCTTCCAGGTTGACCCAGCTTAAAATAGAACCTGGGTAATGTCCTGGAAAGTAAAGAAGGCTTTCATGATCATTCATCCCATGCCGATCAGTCTATACAAAATATATGAATAGAACAATATATATCCAATGCGCCAAAGGGTGAAAATGCCCCTCTGCTTTGTATTCACTCACTGAAGCAGAAAACAAAATATGCAATCAGAAATATAAAATAAATGAATCTCAAGCTACTTATGGATGAGAAATTCTAGTGAAATGTGACTAAAAAGCTCAACAAAACGGAGGCAGAAACTTGTGCATAAAATAACACAAGACAATGTTTCGGCCTATGTTTTGTGCACATTTTTCTGTTTCCCCGTTTGGTTAAGCTTTTTCCCCCGCCATATTTCACCGGAAGTCCTTGGTTTTAGCTTGACTGCAGTCATCTCAATATTCTCACCATTTTATGGATGAGAAACATTTATAGGGATGAAAAGACAAAATATACAACAAGCTAGATGTTGTCGTCACCCTTTCGGAGCAAGTGAACAGTGCAGGTGCACAATCAGATCATCACGGACTAAGGAGCACAGTGCAACAAGGAGTAACCAGTGGATCTGGCAATGGCTCCACACTCACATGAAAGGCAACCAGATTGCTACTGGTACTATCCGAATTGAAACGATTATAGAAGTGAATGGATATGGATACTATATACAAAAACTAGGATGTATAAAGGACGCAGTGAGCTATATTGTTCCCTCTGTGGGTTCTGAGGTCCCACTGTGGTGGAAAACAGGAACAGACCCACTGCCTCCCCAACTAGCATGTCGTAGGAGTCGACTAATTGGGGGCTTCCTTTAAAGTCATAGTGCATCTGCCTGAGCGGCAAGGAACAACCATCTGCAAACAAATAAATCAGTAAAATGGATGTACATGCAATTTATTGCAAAACTCAGGCCCTGGCACAAAGCCAATTGGATGAACTAAGGACTTTCCACTGGAGCTTACAGCCAGTGAACGAAGAAGAAGAAGAAATATTGTTGGTTAATTTAATATATTTTGTACACTTTGTGAGAATGTCCCTCAATATCAAACAGAATACTAATTCTGTGTTAATAACAGATTATGTGAGCTAAGATACCAAAGACACACATGAGCGAGGTACCTGTGTTATTGTCAAAGAATCGTATGTGTCTGTCTTCATGTGCTGTGATGGAGATTGGCAGAGTTGGGTGGTTGATTACACGGTTGATCTGGTTGCTTCCACTGGAATCTAATAGGAAAAGAAAACAAGTGTCTTTAACTCTTTCACGGTGTAGTTTTTATTACTTTCAATCTTTATAAGAAAATTTGTGTTGCTCAAGGCTGTCTTTACTGTCTATAGTACCATTTTTTAGGGTGCTGTAGGAAAAAGTGGTCTTGAGCCTGAGGATTTAGAACCGTTGGGCTAGTGTAGTTGCCATAAACTCTGCAGGGTTAGGATGTCTATTACTGCCCCCAACAGAGGGGATAACAAACATTAATCGTCTTACCCATGATTCTAGCCAGGGTTCTCCCCCATGAGAGCCCAGCATCCTAACCACTTGACCAGTCGCTCCTCAAAAATTCATTACTGAAGTTAACAAAAGTTAGCATTTAGAGAAGTTAACATAATAAAATAATTGACAGATGATGTTCATATTTTAGTCTTGTCCACTATTCAGGCCCTCTTCATTTTAAGACTTTTCTGTAACAAAGCCCCTTTTTTTCTTCATTGACGTCTTCTTCTTAGCGTTAACTGGCAGTAAACTTCGGTGGAAAGTTCTGGTTGTTCGTCAACTTCTGGACTTTGGTCTTATTCCAGAACTAGAGTTTTTACGTGCACACCCATTTCAGAGACATACAGACTTGTTTCCTTGGCTCTCAATGTAGATGCATTCCGACTTACAAGAAAATACCCCTAAATAGTCAACTTTTACAACTTGTTTTATAGGGTCTATTCTCGTTTTCCCCTCTAATATGGGCCCCAGGAACCCACACATGGAATTAGTGATTTTAAAATAGGCCTTATATCTACATCATGTCCAAAGGATAGACACATGATCTAAAAATGTTGACTTTGCTGGTGTTGTGCCAATCTGTTTATTACAATGGAGGTGGGCTTCTATGCATCCACTGCTGTCTTTTGGGAATACGATGAGAGGCCCATCAATATCATCCACTGTGGTAAAGAACTTACCAGAGTTGGCTTTTGTATCAAGGAGGAGAACCTGCTTGCCGGTCTCAAGGTCGAAAATGTAAGTGTTAGAGGAGGTATAGCTGGCAACCATCTGGTGTGGGTCACAACGCACAAAATCTACGGAGGTGGGCACACCTTCTTCTGTAGCAATGGAAAAAAACAGTACAGTCGAGATGTTAGAATTATGAAGCATTTCACAAACAATTTAGAATTTCTTCTGTAGTAATGAAAAACATTACAGATGAGATGCTAAAATTATGAAGCATTTCATACACAAACACACACACAAGAAATTTAGATTTAGAATTTCCTCTGTAGAAATTAAAAACAGTACAGTTTAGATGTTAGAATTCTGAAGCTTTTCACACACAAATAAACACAGGCAATTTAAAAAGGACAGGAGGCAGACTGACAAACATCAAACACATAAACACAAAAGGGATTTTAGAGTGAGTAGGAGAGAGGCAAGCTGACACCGGATTTGAGAGATAAGGGACAGAATGTGTGTTTCTCTCTTACACACACACAGAACTAGGAAGAGTCCCACAAACACACATAAAAGCAGATGGAGGAGGGAAGAGAGAGAGAGACTGCAAGAGAGAGACAGAACACTTCAGAGTGGAAAAGAAAGACAGACAGACTCTCACACACACACACACAAAGGCAGATATCAGAAACACAACAGATCAACCAGACAGTGTGAGGGACAGAAAATGAGAAGATGAATAAAAGAGTTTTAAGTAAGAAAAGTGAGTCTAATTGTAAAACAAATATAACAAGATAATACGAGACAAACAATACATTAGCAAGGACACAAACATCATGTACCTGATTCAACAGTAAAAGTACTGAGTAATGGAGACTTGCTCCCGGGACTCCAGAGACGCACAGTGCCATCTGCAGAACAGGAGAGGAGCTGGTTCTTGGAGCTATGTATTGACAAACCCCAAACTGCATCTGTGTGAGCTTGCAAGGTGTCGGACAGGACATTTGGATCTGAAAAGATATTAAAAGTTGAGGATCAAATTCACTGCACTGGATGTTACCCATACTGCTTGGTCTCCCTCCGCAGAATGGCCTGCCGTCTGCTGAGTGTGTGGCTTACAGCACAAACTCTGCAGCCACGACAACGATCCCCAAGGATCAGTCATGAATGAAACAATGCATCCTGTGAAACGAATTCATGACCTCCAGAGCACACTTCAAATGGCTTGACAACTTCACCATGGAAATAATTAAAGCCTGTTCGGAATGTGTGAAACCTTCTGCATTTAATTAACGGCCAAAACTGCTTGTAATTACCAATTTTATGGCGTAGACATGGCAGTCACTGAGCCTGAGAATTTTGGGCCACATGGCTGGTGCTGTCTCCATAAAGGATTATATTCTTTTTTTTTTCCGATGAAAAGAAAATCCTAACCTCACTGAGGATTCAAACCTGGGCCTCTTGCTTGAGAGCCCAGCATTCTTAACCACTCCTTAGTAATTAAAATTAAAAATAAAATGCCAGAATAAAGAAACTAATTCATTAAAAGAAATGATTACCTGCCTCATTAGAGAATCATTCACATTCTTTGGTTACATCAAGAATTGGGTAATGCTAGGGTTTGAAATAACAGCCCTAAGACAACTTACCAAAAAAAATCATAATGTAACAGTAACTTATAGCCATATTATGAAAAGACAGAAACCGAAACATGTTACGGCCCAGTGAACAGATTTGTGGAAGGAGAGACAGAGGAAGACAATGCAAGAAGATTCTTGATAAGCTTTTGAGGTGACATGGAGGGGTGAAAGTAATACAAAAACCTAGCCCTCATGCTGAGTGCAACAAGATCAACAAATGTTATGAGTTTAACAGTAGAGGTTTTCTTAAAATATTTATTTATTAATTCTTGGCTTAAAAAAATAAGGGTCATCTTACCATTTATGGAGGCATCTTCTACTAGTGAAAAATTTGGTAGATCTATCAATACACCCCAATATAGACTTCTCTCTCTCTCTCTCTTAAATAGAGAACTTACCAAAGGAGTCATATGGATCGATATCTGATTTTGGTATATTCCAGCACTGGATGGTGTTGTCCATACCCCCACTGTAGCACTGCTCGCCTGCTGGGCTCACTGCCAGGCACAGAACAGGGCCAACGTGAGCTCGAAATGTATAGACGGGTTCCACATCCAGCGATGCAGCTCTAAAAAAATCAAAAGTGTACCTCATTCAGGTAGCCAAATAATTAGAAAAAGAAATGCATACATAAAAATACAAACTGAGATCGCGTTGGTAAATGGGAATATCAGCATTAAAGTCTGGTCGCTAGGAGAGAGATGAGAGTGCAGTTTTGCAACACAACTCTGACTGTCTTTCAAGCAGCCTAAACCCTAGCAAAATGACTGAACGCACCGAACAGTCTTACATCTATCTCCAGGTGATAACAATTGTCAATAATTATTACATCCAAGGCTATTTCCTTTTCAGAGTTGCATTTCGATTATTTTCTTAGAAAGTGTACTCTACAGGTGAAAGACTACGAGGATTCATTTCAGCCACTGACACTTGGATCAGAAACTAGATCTTTGAGATGCTATTCCTAATTCCTATCTTTCTGTATCTAGAATGCTATTCCCATTTAATGTATCTATGACTTTTAGGAGATTCTCCATTTTCTACTGCTGGTACATAAATGATCTATGACTATTTATCATGGTTTGTGTACTCACTGGTAAGATTTCAAGGGAGGTATTTTCTCTCTCATGTTCATACTTTTATAATTCATGATGTGTACTCGTGTGTTAGTAAATGCTGGTTTTTGTTTTCAGGATAGATACTCATGTGATTATTTCCCTGTACACAGCCTTAATAAATGCTCTGGTTTAGTGCTGTCTATACCTCTTCTAGATGGGGGCTTAATTTAATGACCAGAAAGGGAAGTTGTGGAGAGGGGTAATCAGCTCTGTCTAGCCATTTATTTAGTAAATGTTCTCTAGGATATAAATTCCTCTTTCCCATTTCTGGGGATATTCAGGTGGCTCACTTTCTTTCACTAGCCAATTCAAGTCTGTATCTGAGTATCTGGGGTCTGCACTTAGATTCTCACGTACATCAGGAGGGAGGATTTAAACCCACACCCACCACCACATTGATTGAAAAAATAAACCTGTTCCATGAGACTCCTAGCACTTAACCCGTCTGCAATCCTTTTCTTATTCCATTCCCAATTTTCCCTCCATGCAGCACAATCCATGGCTTCCTGCTTCCATGAATCCCCATTAATAAAAGTAAAAGAAAAGGACTGTTTTCCACACCTTTCGGGCATATTGGGTAAACAGGGCTAGACCTATATTTTATCGATCAAACTTGGTGGGTGATGTGGTCAGCATCACACCAGCCACCTTTGCTTCCAAGGACTGCATCTGGTACCCACTCAAGGCCGGGTTGACCTGGGAGCCAAGGTCATTTTTGACAAAAATCCGGCCCTGGTCAGGAAATGAACCCATGACTTTCAGATCCGCAGGCGAGCGTCTAGCCGCTAGACCACGACGGCTACCTGAATCCCCATTAATACCTGTATCATTCATGTCTTGCTTGCACACATTTTTAAATCATAGTGGAAGCCAACCATGGCATCTTCTACTCTGTCATTCACCATAGTGGAAGTCCTCAGGGACTCTACCATCCTCCACCTATATGATTGTGTCCTAGCCATCTGAGCTATCCTTTCTGTCCACACATGGAGGGAAATATAACAGCTAACTACTGTCAGAAACAAAAAATTTGCCAGGACTAAAACAGTAACCCTGCCTATCCACCATACTGATTGGAAATCAAAAGGTTCAAGTGGAAACAATTTAAAAGTGCAACAACCATGGCCAATTTCACACTCCTGAAGACTCTAGTAAACCATATTTAGCTTCCACATATATTTCACCAACTTGCCGAGAACAGGATACAACATGGTTAGGGGGGAAGAAGGGGGGAGCGCGAAGATTTATTAAAGTGAATTCAACTTTACTCTATATAAAAGAATGACCAATTTTACTCGCTTCTTAGATCTGAAGCCTACTTCTGCATTTACTATTAAAAGGGTGCTTGGCTACTTGCTTTGTGGTTTACAGTTAGGCTGTGATATCTGCACTCTTCTGACTAACACATCCAATTGCAGCACACCCCTAATTAGTTATATTAAGTAGAATTATTTTGGAAAGATTAAAAGATGCTATTGATAAAATGCTAAGAGATGAGCAGGCAGGTTTTCGGTCAAACAGATCCTGTACTGATCAGATAGCCACATTACGTATTATAATAGAGCAAAGCATTGAATTGAACTCACCACTTTACATTGGAATTATAGACTATGAAAAAGCATTTGACAGCATTGATAGGGAATCTCTCTGGAAATTGACGGGGCACTATGGAATCCCACAGAAAATTATCAACTTAGTAAAGGCAACATATAAAGACATGAAATGTCGAGTTCTTCATGAGGGAAAGCTAACAGATGCATTTGAAATAAAAACAGGTGTGCGACAGGGATGTCTTTTGTCGCCTCTCCTATTTTTACTGGCTATAGACTGGACTATGAAAACAGTAACTGCTAACACCAAGAATGGAATTCAGTGGACCCCTACAAAACAGCTTGATGATCTGGACTTCGCTGATGATATTGCCCTTCTGTCCCATTCACGGAATCAGATACAAGATAAATTAAATATACTTAATGCGAGATCACAGCAGCTTGGTCTGAAAATCCATAAAGGAAAGACAAAGATAATGAGAAAAAATCAGGCAAATAGTAACGTGGTTTCTCTTAATGGCACCCCACTCCAAGACGTGGAATCGTACACCTATTTAGGCAGTAATGTAGATAAAGATGGAGGAACTGATAGAGATATTAAAATAAGAATACAAAAGGCAAGAGGGGCTTTCATAGCACTAGGGAATTTGTGGAGGTCAAAAGAAATTAAAAGAAATACTAAACTAAAAATTTTTAATTCTAATGTCAAATCAGTACTATTGTATGGGGCGGAAACATGGAGAACAACGAAGGCAATTACTAATAAATTACAGACATTCATTAACTGGTGCCTGCACAGAATAGAGGGAATAAAATGGTATGATAGAATAACTAATGTAGAACTTTGGGAGAGAACTAAACAGGCTCCAGTGGATCAGGAGGTGAGGAAAAGACGCTGGCGTTGGATATGGCACACACTGAGAAAACAGGAGAACAGCATAACTAGAATGTCTTTGCATTGGAACCCACAGGGGCATAGGAATAAAGGCAGGCCAAAAAACACATGGAGAAGAGAGCTGGAGAATGAGGTTAGAAAGATTGGGAGGACATGGGGAGAGCTCCATGTAATGGCGAAGGATAGAACGACTTGACGTGAGTTGGTTGAGGGCCTATGCTCCATTGGGGGATAGAAAGGCAGAAGAAGAAGAATTAGCTGCCTTTTACAACATACTTATTAAGCAGCCGTAGGTGCATTCTCTCAGCCTCCCCCCACCAATAAATTGGGGCTCCGGAGGCTCAATTTTGAAGACTAAATAATACTGCAAAACAATCTAAATGATGGCGCTACTAAAGACTTACTTTTTAGCAGGGACTGTTTTCTGCAAGTTCCACAGCTTGAGTGTGTGGTCCTCTGATGCTGTTAGTAGGACAGGTTCTACTGGGTGAAATGCTAGAGCGCGAACTCCGTCGAAGTGGCTGTGGTAAACAAATAACAACTTTTTTTTAGCTGCAAAATTCTGGAACTTTTTGGGTGACTTTCAAATGTTGCATATTTATGTTTAATAAATTTTAAATTTTTTTAAAATTTGCAAATAGCATATTTCTCTTAACATGTAAAAACAAATTTTGCCCATATTTTATTGTTGTTAGTTCAGTGGTACCATAGACCTGGCCAATAATGACACCTTCTTTTTTAAAGAGGTGTCAAGTTGGTCAGGAGTCGGTGAGGCACCATTGTTATGTAAAGGCGACAGCTTCAAGCCCTGGTAAAGGAATAAAAGATTTCTATTTTTTTTTTTTTTCAAGTGTGTACTCCTATTTCTTCTTGTATCTATGAGTGCCAATCAATATACTGAAAAATAGGGGACAAAAGAATTGAAACAACAGAAATTAAATGTCTACAGCAAATCTAAAATGTAACTAGGAGAGAATCAGAAATGACGATAACAGTAAACAAACTGGGACAGAACCAGTGCTAAACTACATCAAGAGACAACAGATCAAATGGTTTAGACAAGTGCCAAGGCTACCACCAGACAGTGCACCACAGAGAGCCCTGTCACTTAGACACAATGGAAGCAAAGCTAGAGATCGACCCCTCTCGTACCAATGACCAAAAACAGGAAGACCGTTAAAAAAAATAATTAATGTTTTACATAAACTGCTGTGGAAATCTAATATGCCTCTTCATTTAGCAACCATACCCATGCGGACTCCAGTATCTATTTGAGGCGACAAAAAATGTAAGAACAGACCCACCGTTCCTTAACAAGCATATCGTAAAAAAAGCAACTAATTAAAGATTTGTTTAATTAAATATGTTGAGGCAAAAGGTGCAGATATTGCAGCCTAGCAGCTTTAAACTATATAATACAATATGCTAAATGTTTGTTTAAAGGAAGAAGGAGAAGGAAGAGAAGAAGAAGAATTTAAAAAGTAAAATAAAAGAATGACTGGCAAGACAACAATGTCATATCCAGAAATTAAAACCAACACAGCAGGAACAATCACAGGAAAAAAATCACGATAAACAAGGGATTTTTTAAAAGAAGAAATATTGTGAGATAATTAGAAGAAAAACAATATAAAGCAATGTATCATTAAAACCCTATGCAATTTAAAAATTAATACAATATGTAATCTGGTTGTGTATGTTTTTTCAACGGATCAACATCATGGCACACAGGTGTAACCCATAAGTGCTCCATTTTACTTCTAACTCAAGCCTGAGTTTGAAGAATCTCAGCACTGCACGAACTGTTGCACCGGCAAGAATTCTGAAATACTCCAGGTAGATTTGTAACTCCACATTTTGCCCGGGCAGTGCTGTTGGGCTACTCCTTTTTGATTTCAAACTGCCACGGTATTTGTTACGTGCGCAAGCCAACAATACACACAGGTGTCCGGTCTTACTACCCAGAGACCAGGGGAAATTACCAGGAATCCACGTGAAAAAAATCCCAGCCTTCACCGGGGTTTGAACCCGGGACATCCAGCACTCAAGGCGGTTGTGTGGTACCATAATCAACAGACTAAATTGAGAAAAAAGCATATATTTAGTAGGAAAAAAACCCCCAGAATGATAGAAACAATGTACAAATCTATACACATTAGTGCCTCACCTTCGGAGAGTATATTTAGCATTCCAGGTTTTTCTATAGACTTCCTTAGGTGCTGATATCTAAAAGATAACAAACAATTAGCTGTTATTGATTTTTCTGTAGATAGCAAACATATTATTTAAAAAGTAAAAAACTGAAGAAGAAAAAGCATGTTAGAGCCATAATGGTACCAGGAATGCTTCTTGATATATTCTGGTTTTATTTATTTATCCTGGAAGTGCTTACACCTTGCCTTATACTTCTCTAGCTTAGACATCCAGACATAAGCTATGTTTCTCATGTCAGTCAGTGTGTCAGACTTTGTCATGCTTGCATCTCTCTAGTTCAGATATCAGTCAGTGTGTCAGACTTGCATCTCTCTAGTTCAGAAATCAGTCAGTGTGTCAGACTTGCATCTCTCTAGTTCAGATGTCAGTCAGTGTGTCAGACTTTGTCACGCTTGCATCTCTCTAGTTAAGATATCAGTCAGTGTGTCAGACTTTGTCACGCTTGCATCTCTCTAGTTCAGATGTCAGTCAGTGTGTCAGACTTTGTCACGCTTGCATCTCTCTAGTTGAGATGTCAGTCAGTGTGTCAGACTTTATCACGCTTGCATCTCTCAAGTTCAGATATCAGTCAGTGTGTCAGACTTTGTCACGCTTGCATGTCTCAAGTTAAGATATCAGTCAGTGTGTCAGACTTTGTCACGCTTGCATCTCTCTAGTTCAGATATCAGTCAGTGTGTCAGACTTTGTTACGCTTGCATCTCTCTAGTCAGATATCAGTCAGTGTGTCAGACTTTGTCACGCTTGCATCTCTCTAGTTCAGATACCAGTCAGTGTGTCAGACTTTGACATGCACCTCTCTAGCTCAGACATCAGCCAGCATATCAGATATTGGCATGCACCTCTCTAGCTCAGACATCAGCCAGCATATCATATATTGGCATGCACCTCTCTAGCTCAGACATCAGCCAGCATATCAGATATTGGCATGCACCTCTCTAGCTCAGACATCAGCCAGCATATCAGATATTGGCATGCACCTCTCTAGCTCACATGTCAGTCAGTGTGTCAGATATTGGCATGCACCTCTCTAGCTCACATGTCAGTCAGTGTGTCAGATATTGGCATGCACCTCTCTAGCTCACATGTCAGTCAGTGTGTCAGATATTGGCATGCACCTCTCTAGCTTACATGTCAGTCAGTGTGTCAGATATTGGCATGCACCTCTCTAGCTCACATCTCAATCAGTGTCAGATATTGGCATGCACCTCTCTAGCTCACATGTCAGTCAGTGTGTCAGATATTGGCATGCACCTCTCTAGCTTACATGTCAGTCAGTGTGTCAGATATTGGCATGCACCTCTCTAGCTCACATCTCAATCAGTGTCAGATATTGGCATGCACCTCTCTAGCTCACATGTCAGTCAGTGTGTCAGATATTGGCATGCACCTCTCTAGCTCACATCTCAATCAGTGTCAGATATTGGCATGCACCTCTCTAGCTTACATGTCAGTCAGTGTGTCAGATATTGGCATTCACCTCTCTAGCTTACATGTCAGTCAGTGTGTCAGATATTGGCATGCACCTCTCTAGCTTACATGTCAGTCAGTGTGTCAGATATTGGCATGCACCTCTCTAGCTTACATGTCAGTCAGTGTGTCAGATATTGGCATGCACCTCTCTAGCTCACATCTCAATCAGTGTCAGATATTGACATGCACCTCTCTAGCTCACATGTCAGTCAGTGTGTCAGATATTGGCATGCACCTCCCCAGCTCACATATCAGTCAGTGTGTCAGACTGTGGCATGCACCTCTCTAACTTATATGTCAGTCAGTGCGTCAGACTTGTTTAGGTATCCAATCTCAGTTCCCAAAAAAAGAACAGGGCAATTAGTAGTGTCATTAGAAATTAATGCTTTTACATAGTTTGAAAAGAAAGAAAAAAAACTTCGACGTGGGAACGGAACCCTTAACTACTCAGACAGAGATGGATGCTGCAACCTCCCTCCATTCTAAAAGAACCCTGCCACTGACAGCTGTATAGTTACAAAAGTTGATTAGAAAACAAATTATTTGAGGAAATGAGGACGTCCAAAAACCCTAAGATGAATGTTGATGTGAGAGATCAAACATGCTGGACCGGATTTCATCTACTTTATCCAAAGGATTCTACAGAATAGTACGGGATGGGGGACTAGACTACAAGCCTTATGTGACATCTAATGGTACAACATGATAATGATGATGGCATGAGATAATTGGGGGGGGGGGGGGGGGGGGGGGGGGTTAATTTTCTGTACACATGTGAGTATCTGTAAGTATGTGTACAAGTTAGAATGTATGTATTGTGTACAAATAAGTGTGCATGTATGTATGTATGTATGTATGTATGTATGTATGTATGTATGTATGTATGTATGTATGTATGTATGTATGTATGTAGGCATCCAACATCTGATGTGTATGAGATGGATTTGGTAGGGGTTGAGTTAAATGTAGAGTCACAACTATTCAAACAACTAGGACTCAAATATTCACCAGTAGATGCTGCAGTAGACCCCGAATTCTATAACCAGTATCGGCGAGAAGACAACGGTAAGATTTCGAGCAGTGATTTACAAGAGAAGGATTCAAGTTCATATTAGTTCTAGAAACGTGCCTGGTCCTTCACATTTAAGTGAAAACTTTTTTGAATGCTACTCCGGTGTGCGCGCGTGGCACTGATGCATGTAATGTACCACACATCTAGTGTAGCGCGTATGTATACAGTGTAAAGTATAATATTATATACACATAATGAAACCCTATGGCAAACAGATTTCACAAATTCCAAGACTGCATTTTGAAGAGAGGTGACTAGCTGCCTTTTATGCCTTGAGACTAAGAGACCAGGGGGAAAAAATCCTATCATTACTTCAGCAGCGGACGACAAGAGTTCTTGAGCCAGAATAACAACTAAGCTACCATGGCTCCTTGTTGGCACCTTTCCAGATGACAAGTGTTATAGTGTGCTAAAGGAAGACATGGGAATCAAGCTCATGGGGATGGACAAGACCAGTTAAGGCCAGGGATGAGGTTCTTTCTCTCCACAGCTCAAAGCTTGGACAGTATAGTAAATACTCTGTGTTGCCCATGCAGAATGACCCCCCTCTCTCTCTCTCTCTCTCTGCCTTGTTTCCAAAGGAAAAATAACACTGCTCCATACTGGTTCCATTTTTGAGCTTATTCAGGAGTATGTGAACATCACTGAAGTGGGTGGCTATGATTAAATGGATGTGTTGTGAACAGAAATAAAAGACGGGATGCATTGTGATCACACTGAGGAGAAACTGGATGTTCTATGAATACATAAAAGCAACAGGTTGTCTTGTGAATACACAGAAGAAACTGGATTCACTGTGAACACAAATAAGAGAAACTGAATGTGTTGTGAACACACAGAAGAAAGTGGATGTGTTGTGAACATATACATTGTTAGTGCCCCTTCTCACCTCTTTTGTCATCTCACTGATACCAGGTGTAGCCCAGTGTCATAGTTTTTTGTATTTGTCATGCCGGGTGGCTTTGGTGATGGATTTGTTTATCCTTTCGTAAGGCCCTTCTCACAAAGCCCAAAAATAAAATACCTTTAAGAAATAATTTATGGTTGTATTTTGCCCCCCCCCCCCCCCCCCCCCCCCCACCCCCCCCCCCCCCCCCCCCTCTCTCTCTCTCTCTCTTTACATTCACAACTAAAGACTGCCAGAGAAGTTCAAATCCTTACATCGTAGTTCATAGGATCTGCCTCATTGTTGACAGTCAGCCCAGCCAACTCCCCAAGTCCAAGACCACCATCTAAGTTCTCCTCATCATCCTGTATGCCCATCATTGGCTTGCGAGCATAGTTGATTTGGCCCCCTGCAGGAACATCTGGCAACGAAAAGAAGAATGACTCTGTCAAGAGACAAATTTGTGTAAACAGACAAGCAGAATGCAAGCCAATTAAAAATTAATTTTGAACAGCTGTATGCCAAAGATTTGTTTTTAAAGGAGGGGAACAGATTTAAACTTTGGAATTAGCTACGTTAACAATTCTGTACACTGGTTTACTTGATATGAAAAAAAAAATACATACTTGACTATCTATATTCAGTTTTATTCTTAAATTGTCAAAAGGTTTCATATGTTAGCCAGACCCCAGTGAAATATTACACCCCATCATATGTAAATAATCAACCAACATTATTACAAATCTTAGTCGCTTAGTGTATTACATTTATCTGTGCAAGCTTCCACACGTGGCAGGTTATATAATAACAGTGTTATGGTAATGATTGTAAGCGGAAGCAACTAATGAAATCTGTTAATGAAAGCTCACTCCAGTGGTTAGAATGTTTACATATTCCAAACTAACTATGCCTTTTTAAAAAAAACTAAACTGCCCAGAAGAGGCAGAAGAAGACATGGCAGGCTGTGCTCCCACTCGAGGCTGAGAGGCAGAAGAAGAGATGGAGGCTGTGCTCCCAGTCTAGGCTGAGAGGCAGAAGAAGACATGGCAGGCTGTGCTCCCACTCGAGGCTGAGAGGCAGAAGAAGACATGGCAGGCTGTGCTCCCACTCGAGGCTGAGAGGCAGAAGAAGAGATGGAGGCTGTGCTCCCAGTCCAGGCTGAGAGGCATAAAAAAGACATGGTAGGCTCTACTCCCAGTCCAGGCTGAGGGGCAGAAGAAGAGATGGAGGCTGTGCTCCCAGCCTAGGCTGAGAGGCAGAAGAAGAGATGGAGGCTGTGCTCCCAGTCCAGGCTGAGAGGCAGAAGAAGAGATGGAGGCTGTGCTCCCAGTCCAGGGTGAGAGGCAGAAGAAGAGATGGAGGCTGTGCTCCTAGTCCAGGCTGAGAGGCAGAAGAAGAGATGGAGGCTGTGCTCCCAGTCTAGGCTGAGAGGCAGAAGAAGAGATGGCAAGCTGTTCTCCCACTCGAGAGTTGAAAGGTAGAAGAAGAGATATCAGAGGTATGGTTTCTTCACAGAAGGCTAAGAACCCCTTGAGACCAATATCTAAGCAATCAACGATTTCAGCAACATACATAGGTATAAACATCTGGACAAGATAATGCAACCGTTACGTCAAAATTTGAGAAGATTCAGGGTATCACAGACAGAGGACAACAGAAGGCGAAACTACTCAATGAGGCAAGAGTGAGCAAATAAAGTCCCTTTAAATGCCAGTGACGCATCAGATATAAGATGCTAGACTCTTTTTAGACCAATCGGCACTCAATGCATGTTGTCATCATCAAAACGACTGCTTTATTGCCCAGGATATTCGCTGGTAACCATTTCAGGCCCAGTCAAACTAGGAGCCTGTGTGGGTTCCAGGGCCCCACTGTGGGGACACATGAACACACCCACTGCCTCCACATGTCATAAGAGTTGACTAACTGGGGGGTTCCTTCGAAGTCAGAGTGTATCTGCCTGGGAGGCAACGAACAAATGTCAGATCTGTAAAATGGATCAGGTTCTGAATGAACAACCAAAACCTTCTGCCTTAAAAAAAAAAAAAAGTACTGCAGCCTGGTTGTAAACCACAAAACAAGACGCCATTTTAAAGGTAAATTCAGAAGAGGAAAACAATTTGCTAACACACGGCACTCTTAATACACATAGTAAAGGGCACCATTATAGCAGATGCCACCATTTACAAGTGAAGGACCAGAATTTATAATAAGTGTCAACTATACTGGAAAAGATACCCACGTCTCCTCTTCCTGGTCTCAAGAAGCAAACAAGGTGCCAGCAAAAAAACCACCAGGCACCTCAAAAAAAAAAAAACTGTCTTGCCTATCTATTACTAGACTTCTCAGTACTCAATGGTTAACACTAGGCAATTCAACATATATTTACCAGTAACAACATATATCCTTATATGTTATAGATTTCATTTTTGGTTTATCTTTCAGTCTTATCTTCAGTTAATTCTAAATGATTCATTATCTCAGTCTTTCTCTTGATCTACAATTTCAGACTAACACCATTTAAATCTGTTGCTCAACTGCACTTTGTTCCAAAACTTGACCTATAGAGCCCTTTTTAAAATCAATTTCTACGGCACACATACTTAGGCCTACTTTAATGTCATTTTTTATTAATTTTTCTAGAGCATCCATGGAGCCCTCGGGAAGTACAGACTCCCTAGGGATCATAGGCTGAGAACCACTGCTCTACAGTACAAAAACCCTAGGATATAAAATGTTGAAGTAACAATTGCTTGGGACTGAAATAGTGAAAAACTAAGTTCAACACAGGCTAACTTTGTTAGTTCAACTGAAAGGTTATAGTTATAAATGTAAATTTGTGTGTGTTTGTGTGAGGAAGTGAACCAGCATTCTAAAATATGCTAAGGGAAAAAAAGCATGCATAATGCACATGTAGAAACACATAATTGAAAATTTAAAAAATAATAATGGATAAACCAGTTTTGAAACTGAATATGACAAAGAAACAAACAATTAGTTTTGGCGAATATGTAAAATTATGCAGTAAACATAAATGCATAAATGGTTAAATCCACTGTAAATCTGGAGACAAAGAATTATTACATTAACATACATTTGGAAATAACGCAGAGAATGATAAGACACTATAGTTAACCCTGGAAGTTAACACAACAGCAGACTTCATAAAATATAGAAAAAGCAAGTTTAAATTTTAAAGCCAAGATTATGTAGAAAGCAATTTTTTGGGAGGAATTATAAATTGCAAGCTCTAATAGATATATTCAAAATCATGAAAATGAAATTTAGAAAATGTGTATCTATACATGTAAGTATCCAACCTCTGTTTTGTTGCATTAAGTTTTATTGCCAGAAGGTAATAACGGCCAACTGTCAAAGATAGCTCTTGAACATATGCCACATTTACATCCACACCAAGCATACATAACCGAACCCGCCTGAACATACCATGCAACTAACAACATGAAACACCTGCCACATTTTGTGGCTCTTACAGCCGAGCCCTACGCACCCTAGGGTATACTGGCACCTATGGGGTATGTGAGGTACTGCATTTCCTGACAATGGTAGTTGGGACACGGTGCTGTGGTTCAGGTAGGCTGCGATATCCACACCATTAACCTAATCAGTTTTCTGCAAACCTTAAGCAGTCGTCTCTTACAAAACTATATCCCCTCTTCCCCCTCTGGGGCCCTAGAATCTACATGAGTAATGTGATATACTTAATGTGATGTACTAATGATTACATTTGCACGGCTGAGTTCAGGAACCATTTTCCTGATAAGGTTTCAAACGGTTAGTCACTTCGATAACCTTTATAGGAGGCTGCAGAACAAACTTTTTTTTAAATTTCATTTTGCTGTCTGGTTTTACTAGGCAACTTTATATTCAGTTGTGTGCCACTGCTTTCTGAGAGGTCAGCGCTTGAAATCAATGCTGAAATCAACGCAAGGCGGTCCACAGTCAAATTGCCCACAGCTGCTATCAAAGCAAGCACCCCAGAATTATCGAGTACGTTTGCAACATAAAAGCCCCAGAATTGTGGTAAATGAGAATTCCAGTAATCCTCCATCCCCTTGGCAGATTTATGTCTCTGTCTAAAATCTGTCTATACAGATGCATTTACTGCCATAAAAAAGTTTTATGTAGACAGAAAAAAAAATTAACTGCATGTATGGTATGGTCTGTTTGAACTTGTACAATCAGTACAAAATTGAAAAAAAATCTCTTTACACGCTAAATCATGCACACACACACACAGAAAGCACCATTTCCAGGCATTTAGCAACAGCTACACAGATGCAAAAATTATTTGCTATCAACAGATTTGTAAGATAAATGTAGTGCCATAGCAGTTAATACCAGAAGACTTCTGGCCAAAACAACCTCAAGCTGATGCAAATTCCCAATTTCTGGACCTGGAGCCTAAAGGTTCAGTCGCCTAGCCACTGAGCTGAATGCTTAGTGTGACAATGTGAACTGTGGATTCCGCATGGAGTTTTGCTGACTGCACTAAAATGGTGGGTGAACGATGGGGTTCAGAACACTGTACTTCTGCGTGTGCAATGCCAGTTTTCGTGACTGACCATTCGCACCAACAACAAGCTGCAATTCTGGTGTGGCACTGTTAGCATTGGCCAATCTGACAGCTGCCTTATGCATTTATATTCTGTGTGTGCAAGCTTCAAGATTTTGCTGGGACTGACAAGTTTTGATTTGCTTTTTTAATGTGACAGTGAAGGACATTTAATGTGATTTCCATTGGCACAGGAATGGAGCAGTTATACGGATGCCCCACAGGCCGTCTGGCATGATGCTGGAACCTCAACTAATTGAGTTAATGCCACTGGAGTTTTAAAGCATTAGGCCTTCACAGAATCCAGATCATAACATATGAAGTGAAGAAGTCAGTTTCCTTCCTCACCATCTTTCCTACCCAGATAATTCTGAAGGTAGCTTTAGTCTTTCCAGAACCAAACTACAGGGCTCGGTACAAGGAAAGAGGAGGCAAGGAAGGGACACAGACAAAACAAAACCAAAAAAAAAAAAGAACATGAATCCAACATCTGGCAGACAAGATGGGAAAACATCAAGCATCAAGTCCAACCCACGTGACTGCTAGAAATGGAAATATTTGACCCCTCCCCGAGAAAAAAAAATTAACAATAACTTTGTGACCCCAAAACAGTGTTATGGTGCTAACTGATTCACTCTCTAGCCAAATAGTTTCCCCCAATTACATTACATACTTTGAAGAAGCCGTAGAGAGGAAGAAATCTGTTATGTAAGTGTGTGCGTGCGTAGACACACACACACATATATATATACATACATACATTTATATATATATATACATACATACATTTATATACATATATATATATACATACATATATTTATATAATATATATACACACACAT